TAAACAGCGTTACGTTTAACGCGGGTTGGCTGCTTTAGAGATATGTGGCGTTCGCCTTGAACAGGTGATCAGTGACGAGCCGTCGGACCAATGCGTCTTACGCGTGTCAGCACTTCCGAAATGCTTCCTGGAATTTGGCTCGGCAGATGTCAACTACATAGCCTGCCTAACGACGTCGTTGTTGGACGAAATCGTCGAGGTGACGATCAATCGCCGGCGAAAAATAATTTATCGTGCCTCTTTAGAAATCGGCCGCGGAGCCTCTCAATGAAAAGGACCTCGTCCCCGAACTGGTATATTGGACACTTGGATCGATTTCCTGCAGAGGTACAGTTCACGAACTCGTGTAAAAAATAATAACACATTTTTTTCAGAAGCTACGGAATTCGGCACGCCGTTAACATACGAGGGGGCAGCGATGCTGATCCGCATGCTAAGTTGTTGTAGTCAACCGTTTCTTTGCGTTCACCAGCTGCCCACCTTGTTTCCTGTGTCAGGTTTAGAAGCTCTGCTGAAACCCTCTAAATAGAAGGCTAAACTGGACATATCTCTATCATATTTTCCTATATAATAGTGTAATATTCACTGTTAGATGATGTATATGAATTTAATTAGGCGTCCACGATTGCATTTGGTCTTCATGCGCTTTTCAGATTCATGGCGTCTTCAGTTAAGCATCACTACGCTAGAGCCATGCAGAACGGAGACAATTTGCTGTACATTTCAGTTGTGATATCTTTCAACGGAGCGAATTTAATAAATGCTATAAACTTTGAAAAGCTCATGTTTCCCATGGCATTGATCGAGTTATTTATGAAACTGGGGGAATGCGACCGATACATCGCATGTCAATACATATTTTGACGATAAGGAGTGAAAGAGCTCACGAAGCTGGAACGCCGCTGAATATGAATATATTTCATTGGATTTATTGATAGGTAACAAATTCTGATATCAAACTTAGATTTTACTCATCAGCGGTGAAAAGTACCTTCAGAAAACTGTTGGAGAGCGAACTCACCGAAATGATTTATGCTTGAAAAGAAGGTCTTAGACGAAATAACCTTTATGAGTCAAGATTTACTGATAAAGTGTACTGGATGGAAACACACCTGGCCGCATTAATGATTTGACGCAGTTCATCACGGTATGAAACCACTGAACCTCCGGGATCAGAAATGCAAAGCAATGCAAATTATTATGCACTTTCAAAGATCGATAGGATTTCTTAAAGCTTTGATAATCTCCTGTTTAATACTATCATTCATGCAGTTTCATTGAAGGATGATTATGATATGAGATTTTTAAACATGAAATCAAAACTTTTGTCTGAATCAATCATGAATTCAGTCCAAACTATCTAATCAAGCTTATGACAATAACTCGGCATCCATTTACCACGACTGGTGAAATATTTCGTGCGTACAGGATGCTTTAACATCAGAAACAAACTACTCCATCGAACGCCCTGATCTCGACTAGTCTTCGTAGATTACAGGTACATGCATCAAAATTAAAGCATGTTCCTCAGAATCGGCGCATTGCCCAATGTCAGAGTTTTAGCTCCTTTCTAGGTGGACGTATGATCAACTTCTGGTAGTTCTTTGCAACAGAGGTCTAATAGCGGTATCCTCATTCCACTCTGTTAAAAACGCTTAACCTCTCGTCTGAGTTGCTGTGAGGGTGCTTCTAAACCGGAGCATTGTCAAACTTACTGATTCTGTAATAAGCCTTGAACCATATGTTGTCGAGTTATATAATTTTTTATGAACGAATGGGCATTTATCGTTAGAATCTCTTGGTGATGACCACCGATACCCCTTTGGTTAGAATGTCCCATTTCTGTAAAATAAATGTCTTCGTTCTTCGTGCTGCAAAGCATGTGTTTCGCATGCGAGTTCTCTGCTAGCTGTTAATCGATGGTATTCAACTAAAGCTAGAATTCAGAAAGGTGGTTCGACGGAACTCCGCCGGATTAGAGACTGGGATCTTTACACAAAATACTCCTGTCTACCGTTCTTTGATAAATGCAGACCGTCTGGAGAGCAAATGAAGACTTATCCAAAACTATCTTTCTTATGGAAGCAAAAAATGGCCTCGGACGCGTCAGAGGCCAACATAGCACCCTAAGGCAACTGCTAGAGGAGGGCTTGCCTGCGACGTGGGGCATGACTTTTGCCTCAGTAACCGGTCTCGCCAAAAACCTTCTGAGAAATTAAAGCGTTAGACATCAATAATCTGGTAACTCGGTGTTTGAGATGATACCTCAGATGACGATGCAACAATAACATTGCAAGAAGGCGTATGCAGATCATTTTCTAAATATTTTCTGTCGTCCTCGCAAGGTCAGAAACGGTGTTGACAATACGCTTTGCTCAGGAGTGCGACATACGGGTTATGGGAAATGATATTCATATGAAATTAACATCATCATTGACATATTGCTGAGAGACGGATATCCATTGAAGATACGGAATGAATGCCGAAATTCTGCCCGTTCACCCATTTGTCAGATCTGTGACATGTTAACATACGTTGGTCTACCAAAAGAAATGCTAGGAGTAATGCCTCCCAGCCTGACCTAAATTTTGTGTCCAAGCCAGATAAAGTACTGCACATTTGCCTGAGCCGGATGGCCAACAATCCGGAGAAGTAAAAGCAATGTTCGGTGTACAAGCTCCCTTAGTCATGCGATTAACTTTTGACATTTGCAAAGCAGCCACCGCTGAAATACAGTAAGACCAGTGCATCAGAAACTTCATCAGGTGTGAGAATGTTGATGCTCAAGAAAACATTTTCTGCATCAGCATTAAAGCAGATCATGGTCGTTTGCAACGCTCGAAATAGGCCGGTAAGTGCCTTCTGTTCACCTCCGAATTTGCAATCGACAGGTAAAACAGTGAACCGTATCGAAGATTATGAAAGCACAACGGTTCAGAGCGATAATCACAATACATCATCCAAACACTTAATATATCTAAAACTTTATGTACACAAAAAACTACACTCTATGTACACAAACTATATCTGGCATGAAATGAAATGACCAAATGCAAAACAACAACATTCCA